CTTCGATGAATCGGTTAACAATTGGGAAAGTAAAATTTTTTTATACTTAATTGAAATTAGATTTGAAATTGAACAGATAATCCCAATGAACCAAATAGAATAATAAAAATTAATTTTTAATATTACTTTATTAGATTGAAAGGAGAATTTTACAACCCACTTACAAACAAAAAAAGAAAACACCAAACCCCGAACTACGATTATTATACTCACTTCTTTCATGATGTTCAAAAATTAAATCTATAAGCGGAACTGAGCATATATATTTATCTACTTAAGCATATTTGAAAATATGCATCCCAAGTATAAGAGACAGCCAAAATGACTCACGTAAGGGAACTAAAATTTCTTTCGCATCATAAACAAATCTCCGTATTAAGTCCCAAGCATTACTTTGCATAAAGTCATTCACATTCCAACAATTAACGACCACATACAGACACACTACAAAAGATTTCACGATCACTCACAGAGACATCCTAAAACTCTCTTACAAGATATAACAACGAATAACATAACTGATATCAGACTTAGGAGACTGAAAAGAAGTTGTAGAAAGATCTAACTTAAAAATCCACATTAAAATAAAGATAGGAGAGAATACCGCTGGGAGCTTCTCATTCTCACGCCGATCAATACCACTAATATTCCTACTGACATTAGGTTCACTAATTGTTAGTGTTTTAACGTATCTGGTTAATGAAATAATGTTAACATAAAATAATAAACAAATAAAAAGAGTACAAAACACGTAAAAATAGTAAATAAGGGCTAAGAAAAACAGACCAATATAAGCTTAAACTTTATCCTTTTTATTGTAAGTACATTACTATTTTATTAGTATACATTACTATTTTATACTTTTTATTACTTTATACTTTTTATTACTTTTTATTTAGCTTTTTGTAAATTCCAATTTTAAACAAAATTTCGAGAATCTAAAAGCATTTACCTTATTTTAAAATATTAATCTCTTATTTTTCTATAAATCAGAACATTAGATCATGGAGTCTTGTTTTGCCTTCCAACAAGTCAATATCACCTTTCACAAGACTGGTTTGGGGTCAATATTGAAAGATTGTAATAATTTTATCAATAATAAATGTATTCAGATATGAGTGAATCATTTACTGCTATTTCTTTGTATTCAACTTTAATTTATTTTTTGTTATTACCTAATTTTGTTATTACTTATTTATATTTTTTTTTTGTGAAGTATTTTATATATATTCTTCACTTTAATTAGTCATATATTATTTTACTTTCTTTATTATTATTTATCACTATAATTATGATTACTTTTTGTGTATTTTTACTTTATTTTTCATATATATATTTTTTTTCTGATTTGTATTTCCTTTTGATTTAATGTTGCAAATTGTATGTAACATAGTAAAACTGGTTTAGAAGTTAGCTGGCTTAATCCGAAGCGTTTAGCTAATGAGAATTTGAGGAATGGTATTAGGGTTTACCAAATATTCTTTAAACGTCAATGATAGTATCTAACGGGCATTCAATAAGATAAAACTGTTAACTAAACAATAGAAAGTTTACTAATTCTTACTATTTCTCCTAACTATCCGAAGCGATACGAGGGCGGTTCGTTTGTCTAGTCTGATAAAAGCTATGTAAACGATTTTATAAGCAAACGACTAGACCGATTTTTATGATTGATGATTGATATCATTCGGTGAGATTACCTGAATGTTTCGAAACATTTTTAGAAAACGATACTGACCCATTATTAAACAAACTGTTTTTAATCAATTTCCAAAAACCTATCTCACAGTTTTTTAAATGAACGAGTGGATTGATTTTTAAGTTTGATATCATGAATTACTCTCGAGTGTTTTATGGTACTCAGTGGTACTCTCTCAAATAATTCACCTTTTGCACTACAATTTTGCTAGACATTATCTAAAAACCATCTTATATTTTATGTAAATATAATTCATTTTCAATAACTTAAGACGGAGAGATTTTTTATGTAGTCGGTATTTTTTTAAAATTAAATTATTTTTTTAATATTTAACAGATATTTCCAGTAAATAAGTAAAAATTAAAAGTTCTATACTAAGATATACATGTGAGAGGCCTCTTATCAATGAAGGACATCTATAATTTAAACAAAAAAATGTGAACGTAGCTATAAATTTAAACTAATTATATTAAACCAATTAAACCAATTCGAATGTTTTCACTTTACTATCTATACTTGGTAGGGAAAGTAATGCAATCGGGTCAAGTTTTCGATGTGTGGTTTTGAGGGATCTATACGTTTCAGAGCCCCCCGAGTCCGAATAACACATGTTTAACCATTGGTCTGTCTGTGCCAAGATTTTCTCTGAAACTACTGAACCGATTTTTAAATTTTTATTTAAATTTTCCTTTCAATTTTCGTATATAGACTTAATTCCCAAGAAAATTCAGGAAAAAAATTATAAAGAAAAGAAAAATGTTTTGGGGTCTAACTCGCTAAGTATATTTTCTATAGTAAAATTTATAATAAAACTTTTAAAAGGTAATTAAATTACCAACAAAACGAAAATAAAATCATCGGAATTGAATCAGTATTAGCGATAATACAGCGTATTCGCGTATTGATATTTTATTACACACTTTAGCCTTTTTTTTTTAAAAAAAGTTAATGAAATTCCCTACAAAACTGTATAAAAATCCTTCATTTTGGACAACTATTAACGAAGTTACAGCTATTCAATTTCCAAGGTGAGATTACGGGTTCATATCGATATGTCAGAAAGGAGTGAATGAGAGAAGAAAGATAGCTAAGTGAAAGTAAGAAAATCTGTTGCCCGCATCACACAAGCTTCACTATTTTCTATACTTTTAACAAATACAGCAATATTAGAAGGCATTAAAATTTTTACGCTGATTTACCTTAAGCCGGCTTACATTGCTATAGTTTATTAAATTAATCGTACTCAAATCTTTTCTTTGATCAATTTTCTGAAAAATAAATGTAATTCAATTTTTATTGTTATTGATGGACATATGTAAAAAAAAAAAAACTTTTATTGAAATAGATAGGAAAGTAGTGTGAGTGGACACACCAGATTTTTTTATTTTCATAGTCCAAACTGAACATTCTTAAATAAAATCATTAGAAACAGTTTTAGTTGAAATTGACTTTTTCTTAACTTTTTGAAAATGATAGATGTCCGTTTTCGATATTAAGCAAATCATATATTACTCTGGTTTAAGACAGCCAAAAAAGAAAGGATAAAACGTCACTAATGTATTATAATGTGATAATGTATTATTCTATAATCTAATATATTATAATAATATTGTTCTAATCTATTATTTATTATGTTATAATGTATTATAATAATATTTTAAAAACTGTAATAGTTCATGTTTTCCTTGGGATTAATAGGGATCCGATATTTAATTCTTGATTCTTTTATTACAAAAAAAATGTAGTCAATTTAGTTAACACTTAGTACCACATAAGTTACCCAAACATTTTTAGTAATCCGTGAAGAGCATTTAAAATTAGTATGTAATATAAATAGCAATTAAATTTAACTAGATTTCATAAAACATTAAAACTAAATATAATATACCATTTTTGCTCAACAAAATTCTCTACAATTGTTGAAAAGATCTCTGGCATTTAACACGGCGGCGAAATCGGATTGGAAAGTGTGAAAAGCAACCTGCTCTTAGCTCCATCCTCTTGAGCGGATTACATCTTAAATATTAACATTTATCTCATTCATAAAATAAAATATACAACGAAATATTAACATTTATCCCATTCATAAAATAAAATATGCAACGAAATATTAATATTTATCATATTCATAAAATAAAATATTAAATTAAGGTGTAGTTAATATATCTTAAATTATGAAGATTATCAAAAAAAAATATTGTGAAAGATTTTTTTTTACACGTACCTGAGTCCGCATTATTCAATTGGACGATCATGCTATTAATTTAAAAATTAATAAATTAAGATGGATTAAAAATCTGTATCTTATATCTCTATCTTCTGATCTTTCTTAATTTAGTTTTTTTATATGCATAATGTTGTGTTTTTTGGAACCTACAGCAGATATTGAATGGTCGATTCAAGTACGAGTATAACTTTTTTTTTCTTTTCTTCATCCATACAAGAAAAAAAAAATAGTTAAAGTAAAGATATGACAACTTTTTAACAAAAATCATACAAAAGAAATTAGAAACCTATGTTAACTTTTTGGTTCATAATATTCTATTATCGATTTCATATATTTATATTTTGTTATCGATTTCACTTTTAGTAACTGATAGTAATTGCGTTTGAAAGACATTTGAAACTATTAATGAATTTTTTTTTTATTCATGGAATTTAGTACTCTATAAAAATAAATATACATACAGTTAATATTTTATAGAGAAATACAATGGTATGAAAGGATTTGTAGAAAATCTACCCATTGTAGCATTCTAATAAACGTAATAAAGTTAAAAAGAAAGTTAAAATAAAAACATAATAATAATAATTTATTAATATATCATTTAGTTAATCTAATTGCGCTAACATAAATAACAATCAGTTCGAAATCGTACATAAAACATTTGTTAGTATAAAATATTGTGTTTCATGACTTTTTATATTTTGTTTCAAAGGTTCTAACTATTATTTTTTTTGGTTTTTGTTATTGTCTTATTGTATATTTGGTATAAATTTGCCACTCTAATTGTGTATGAATATACCACAATGATATGAATGAAGTGTTACAAAATGTATTATTTCTGAAGGGATTTAAATTTTAAAAAATGACACAGAATCTAAATTACAAATAACAACTTTTATTTATGATTTTTAAATTATTTCTATGCAGTTATTCTTTATATTAATTTTCCTTATTAGTGACGTGATGACCAACATTGGTTTTTAGTTTTTATACTTCAGGAATTCATTGTTATCTCAGTCAGTGATGTTAAAAAGATTAATATAAGCATAAAAAAAAAATTGGTTTTATCATTTCTTACCTGAAATACATGGTGACCATAACAACTCCCGGGATCCAAAACGAAACACTAGAAGATATGAGAGCATAATAAGTGTTCACCACAAAGATGCACTCATTGCGATGCGCCGCACGGTACTTTTCGTGCGCTTCGGTCGTATACCATCCTAGAAAGATAGGTATGAAGGATATGAGCGCCGGGAGGACCCAGACATTGGCCAGCATGAAGGACACAGTCTTGTGAGTCATAGTAATGGGGTATTGTAATGGTCTTACGATGGCGTAGTATCTGTCCACGCTGATGCAGCAAAGGTGAAGAATGGATGCTGTCGAAAAGTATACGTCTAGCGAGTTCCAAGCGTCACACATGAACGGGCCGAACATCCAACGACCCGTCAATTCAACGCTCGCGTTAAACGTCATCGCGCACAAAGCGACCAGCAGATCTGCGAAGGCCAGCGACACGACGTAATAATTTGTAATGATTCTGAGCTTGCGGTGCCTCACAACACTGATTATAACCAAAGCGTTCCCTAGGATGGCCCCGAGAATAATGACGGCCATGATTACTCCCTTGAGGATGAGCGGAGCCAGGTCGAGGGTCTGGAGGTTGAGGGCGGTGGAACTGCCCGCGGAGGTGTTTTGAGGAAGATGCGAGATCGACGCTTCCATGCTGATTATCATGTCTCCCGGCCGAGGCGCACTGTCCGACGGCCCGCCGGAGACTGGCGCTATTCTTACCCCCACCCTACGCCACCCCTACCACATTCCCTCCCCCAAGGATTTCCGCCCCCTTTGTGGTTTACTGTATCTAGGTTAGGATCCCTTTAGTTCTGTTATAGATCTCATATAGGTAATGAACTGCCCACTTAATTGTTTAAAGAGAAAATGTGGCTAATTACGTAACACATTCTGGTTTCGAATCGCATGGTTATTCTTAATTTCAACATAGACAACCTTCGTACATCATCGACTGTCTTGAGCGATAAAGTATAAAATCGTATTTCTAAGAGAATTCTTTATGAGTCTTTCATATCTTAAATGTTACCCAGTATAATTGTAGATGTCATACATTTACTGTCGAACTCTCATAAATATATTTTATAGAGATTTTTCTTGGTGTAGATCTTTTTTACGAAAACTCGACAGAATTTAAAATAATCGTATTTTTATTTGGAGGTTGTACAATCTAAGGAATCAACAATATTTTTTTTTTCTTTTTAACGTTATTCCTATTTAAATAAAATGCACCTATATTATAGAGGATCTATCTCTACTTCAGGTTAAACGTATACATATATGTAATATATTCAATCGTTTTATTCAGATATTTTTATTTTTTTATTTCATTAAAATAAGTTTATTAGAATGCATCCCAGATAATGTAAAAAGAAGAAATACAAACTTTGCAACAATTGATTGTAGTCATTTTCACTAAAAACAGCTTCACTTGAATGGATAAAAATATCATCATTTTTTTAATTAACTTAAGTTCATTGTCAAATTTTGAATTAATAAACATCAACTTAACTATTACGGATCTAAAGCTAATTGAATAGAGAAGTTTATGGAAAACTGGGGTATATGGAGTAGAGTTGGATGATGATAATAAAAGAAAATCGCGAACAATTTATGGTTTATCTATAAACAGAACTTAGCTTAGTTTTGCCGCTCTAAAGTCTAGTTTAAATGGTTTTAACAATGATACATTCCAATATCTTTCAAAGAAAAATTTATCTAGTTTACAATGAAATAACTAATTATTACTTCAATTAAACATTTCTTTAGTTATTGATTTCGATTCATCAAAAAACCCACTAAACTTAAAAAGACACAAAACTTGGATTTCCTTCTTTTCTGCTGAAAATTGACCCATTGTTTATGTATACTTTTTCTATCCCTTGGAGTCAGTTATCACTCCTTTAAAACTTCTCCTCTATTTACGGGACAGCTTTCATGTATAGATTCACTATATCTATATCTATATGTATATGTGTGTTATTCATTCATTCATTACTCAACACTATAGAAATTCATTTAAGGGGCGGCCTCAGTACCCTCAATTTCATTTATGGCTCTACTGCGGAGGATTCTTCAAAGTCCAAAAAGATACTTCAAAGTGAAATCACAAAGAAAGTAACAGAAACAAATTTTTGGTGCTTACTAATACTTAGTTAAAATGTGCCTTTCATAATTCAGTATAAAACACGAAGAGATCTGTAAAACATATAGGTTAATTAACTCAGCTTAAATGTGGGCGTTAGTGAATGTTGGGAATTCCGTATTTAAATATTAATCTCCATATGCATTAACATTCTCATTGACATTTAGTTTGAATAAAATTGCTTTTGATCATGCAACATGACTGGTATTTAAAATTACGGCGAGTTTCATATACATATATTTGTTATCCTTATATTTGTAATAACTAAATAAAAGTTCACGTTCGTCAAGTTAGTGAATATTATGGTACTATGTACCAATTTTGGTTTAATTTAAAGTGGATTATACATATTTAATAACAGCTGCGAAAATCTAACTCATTTTCAAACATTCTTGTATGTTGTTATATTTCATATATTTTTATTACATGTGTCATTTTTTTATTAATACCTGTTTCAAATTGGGAAATGTTGATAATGTATTCACATGAGTGCATTTTGGTCGTCTTATGTTCCAGAAAGATCTTTTTTCTTTTAGGAGTATATATTGTTTTCATTGTCTTGTTTAAAGTATTTAATTTCTACGAATAGATGCTGTGTACGTTTTCATAATAAATAATATTTGCACATCAGATTTATAAATGTGAAGACCTCGACTGACTTACTTATATTGAGACGACTGAAATGAACCTGGATGAGAGATTTCCTTTCCGGAATTAACGAATTAAACAAACGCATGGAAGATTTACTGCTAGGTATTATTCTCCTCAATGCCTGAAATGTCACGCTCATATTTTTTCAGCACATTAGCTTCTTGCCACAACTATCAAAAGTGTGGATGAAATTCAAAGGGCAAAAAAAAAAAAAATAAAATATGTTGACTTCAGTAACTAACCTAGTGTTCTAATTTATTATAATGTTTATTATATACATTGGGGGCATTGGCCTTTTTTTAGTGAAAATATTAGCTCTGTTTCTGTTCAGCTTGAAAAGCAGTCCTTCTTTTTCAGTCTAATAAGAAGATTTTGTTAAATATTTCTTTGATGGTTTTTTACTGCATTCATATCATCTGACAGTAAGAAGTACAGTAACTAATGGAAGAAGGTTCTATCCTTTTTGTTTATTATGGCGAACTCTTTATGTCATCATATTATCATCTAGTTTACAGGTCAATGTATGAAATATACTGCTCAGAAGCAATAGAATAAATAAAAAATAATAAAAATTACTGAATGTTGATTTCAGCAGGAGTCATCCACAATTTACTTTTTGCTAGAAACTAAATCACCACCTCTGTATTCTATAATTAATTTGACCTGGTGCTACAAAAACTTATAACGTACAACCAGCATTGACAAATTGGATGGGGCTTACAGCGATAGGGACACAACCAGGCATTGTGTGCCGATTCAGTCGGTTAATAAATTATAGAGAATGGATTACTAATTTCTCCCACAACAATCTTGTCTTTGCTGTATTTTTTTGGGGGGGAGGGAGGTAGGGTGGATATGGGAAATTCATTCATTTGTCAAAGACTTGGAAATAGTTGTCAGGACTTGTACATCTATGATACAGTCAAGGGACTTGGAACTCTGTTTGTTTATCATTTCGATCATCTCGTGACAATCGAAAATGCTAAGTTAATTTTTCTTTCTCTGGAGCCATTTTATAATTTTTTTTAGTTTAAGCAAGTGCTAATAGACTCCCATTTGATGAAAGTACTTAAAACAAAATTAACGATTAACATATTTAAAGTTCTCAAAATATAATTGAGGACAAATACAACAGACTTTTTTTTTATGACGCTGGACACTTAAAGAGGCACAAAAAGTGCTTGTAGCAGCTTCCAGTTTCTCCATTATTGTTAAATTAATATAAATAAATAAATGGATACGGCGTATCATCCATAAAAATATCGATGCAATTTACATAATATCGCTCTATGTTTTACACCACATGCTGATGTCACTAAAACTGAACACAAATGATATGTCGATAACATTCAATCTATGTCTATAATTAACATGCCTGATTAAAGTCTTAGTAGGCGCAACTGGATGAGGAACCTCTTCACTTAAATATATATTTTTTTTTTATTTATTCATGATATTTACAACTGTATTAAAAAATTTAATACATTAAGTAAATTTGATAACAGAAATAATAACATGACTTGTTGAGAAACTACCCACTGGTAGCACTCTAAAAACAAAATGTATTTACAATAAGAGATCTCGAGGCCATCATCTTTTCAGACGCCTCGGAGGGTTAACAGGGATAGAAGAGGAAGCAAGGTTAGAGACAAGAGGATTCGGATGGTTCTGAAGTTTATTATGGAAGGATTGGTATCTGGATTGGGCCAAATCGGAAACATAAGGAACATTAAGGTCATTATGGATTATTTTATTGGTGACAAAAAAAGGAACATTGAAGATTTTCCGAAGGATTTTGGATTGTAAGGATTGGATACGAGAGGAATTCGATGGCTTAGTGGAGCCCCAAAGCTCAACTCCGTAAGTCCAAATATGTCTTATTGTAGTCACGTATATAAGTCTTTTGTAATTAACTGGAAGCTTAGAGCGTTTGTCTAGTAAGTGTTGGAGTACTCGGAAACGTCGAGCGGTTTCTTGTCGTTTCAGTCTGGTATGAGGATTCCAAGTTAGACGTTTGTCCAAGTGAAGTCCAAGGTATCGGATTTGTTCAACAGGGATAAGTGGGGTATTATTAAAGGATACTGTGGGACATGAGGTCATAGGTTTACGTCGAAGGGTGATGGGATTTATTAGAATTTATTTTAATCCTTCAGTTTTGACACCATTCTTCAAGGCTTGTGATGTGCGATTGAAGAGTTTGGGATGCAATGGTTAGGTCATTATTAACGGATAGGACACATGTATCATCGGCATACGTGGTAATAACAGTGTTAGGATGTGTTGGGATGTCAGCTGTATAAACTATGTAAAGGATAGGACCAAGGATACTACCTTGAGGAACACTAGCGGACTGGAAAAAGAGGGATGAATAAGCATTATTGTGATTGACTTTTGGGTATCTATCAGTTAGATAGGAACGGATAATGAGGAAGTATGTAGAATGTAGGAATTTACGGAGTTTGTAAAGTAGTTCTGGGTGCCAGACTCGATCAAAAGCCTGTTCTACATCGAGAAAGACTCCCGTGCAGTACATTCCGCGCTTTAATGCAGAGGAGACAACATCCACCACACGATGGCATTGCTGGATAGTGTAATGGGATCTGCGGAATCCAAACTGGTGATCTGGGATTATGTGATTAGAATCTAGGATTGGGTCCAGGCGTTTTAGTATGAGTTTTTCTAGGGCTTTTCCCATGATGGGAAAAAGAGACATAGGACGGTAAGAGGATGGGTATTCTGGTGGCTTTTTGGGTTTATGTATCATTTTGATAATGGATAGTTTCCAAGGGTCGGGAAAATATGTGGATGGAGTACAGGGAGTACAGCATTATATATATATATATATATATATATATAT